AGATTCCTGGGTGCACTTCTCTGATTTAGAGCGCTGTCTCCGTCTGTCCCCGCTTCTCCCTCACTCTCCACTTATCCTTGACCTTCGCTCATTCCCATGGTAACTGCGTCTTACTCGAGGATTGTTCCGATGCTAAGTCAAGTGGGCCAATCCGTGCGTTTTAAGTTGCACATCAGCGGCGGCGCTTTTCAAAATCTAATTTAAGGGATTATCTCTCTATTGATTTCACTTAAAACTGATTCTTTTCTCTTCCCATCCTTCTGCGGCGGCGATAAAGTATCGGCGAAGGAAGCGTGCGCGTTTCTGTGTGTGCAACTTATCAAGCTTTCCCTTCCTCGTCCGTGGACTTGAAGGGGGAGGCTCAGTCGTCTCACTTGGCAACGCAGAGAGTGCGCGTTTGTCTTTGTGTGCTTGTGCATGCGCCGTTCCAACTTTTGGCGCCTATCTGCATCTGTCTGTGTGTGCTCATGCTGCACACACACACACACACACAGCTATCATCCTCCGTGGCATTAATATTCATCTGTGTGTGCATTGAGCAGAACAGATTAGCAGGAGTAATGATGAGCATGTAATGATAAGGGGACCACAGCGATCCCGATAGTCTAAACAGGCCGACTTTAAACCCGACTGGAAAGAAGCAAGCAAACTCATTACAGCTTAACAGCCATTAGATTAGCATTAGTTCCTCTTTGAGGGGAATATGGATGCTGGTTTCCATGGATTAGCGACAGTGGTTAGAAATTCAAGGAGCATCACCACTACCCGTTAGCAATCAGTTGGCAGCAAGCAGCCATGTCCAATATTTACTGGGTTCTACCAATCAGTTAGGTTTTACACAGAACTTATCTGGCAGCCTGGATTTTACCTGACTTTAGGGATGCTGTGACAACTTTACGACATATAATAATATAAAATGAGATAAAGTTATACTCTAAGTTATACTCTCACTATATATTTGCCTTTTAGCACTATAGAAGCATCTCTTTATTTCCATAGTAGGAGTCCCTCTTATCATATTATTGCGTATCCTCTTCTAGGATAATAACAACTTACAGGCAAACAAAGCATCATCAAGGTTTAGGGGTAAAGTTTGAGAGAATTTCTGTTCATTCCAGTTCCATTGTCAATCTACTTCTTCACTAACCTTGACAAGGCCAACTATGTTTAGTGGTGTAGACTTTACTGTGTTAAACCCAGCACATCCACACAAGGGTTTAGAGTGACTCAGGGTGCGTGAGGTGTCCCCTTAAGCTAAGCACGAACTGCATGACTGTGAGTATCTGAAGGGAACCTACACAGGCACAGGGACACTACACCACCATACCGCCCTCAAGTGCACGTTTAAATAAATAATTATTCTTATTTATCTTAGTATTACATTTAATCACCCCCCCTTCAGAGAACAGTCCTACTGACTGAACTTAGATTAGCAGTGTGAGCAGGTTACTGGTGAATGGATGTTTACTGCCAGACTTCATTGTGCTTGGTCCTCAGTTACAGAGACAGGTTGTCATGGCAGAGGCAGTGACAAGTGTCTTCCAAGATCAACGTGGCAGTTAGCATTGGTCGACGGACCTGTGCTGCTGTTTGCGGAGTTGGTTGGATGAGTGCGTGTGTGTGTGATGCATGTAATCTACTCTCACACATCACAGATCAAAGGCCACAGGCAGCAGCCTGGTCATCACACCCTAGGCCACCATGCTCTCGAAGGACCTGAAACACACACACACACACACAGGCACCCAGATGAAACAAATTTTGGACAAGATGCTAACAGTTACCATAGAAACATGCCACAAAGCTGGAGGCAGCGATGGGGGAAATAGAGGAGGAAGAGGGGTGCAGAGAGGAGGACTGTGAACAAAATCAGCTCTGTCAATACGTTGCCAAGCAACACTCGACACTAACGAAGCCGGGTTTGATAACTTGTTGATAACACCAGTGGGAGAACCAGCGAGTGTGTGTGTGTCTGTCTGAAATGGCAGTGTTATTAGCAGAGGCAGTGAAAGAGCCCCTGCTGAGACAGGCCCAAAGCAGAGATAAGGGGAGAGACCTTCTATTAAAGGCAGGGTTACTAGTGGGCCTCAGGAACTCTCTCTCTCTCTCTCTCTCTCTCTCTCACTCACACACACACACACACACATGCAGGCAGAACAAAAGACCCCAGCAGACCCTTATACAATAATGAAACACACAACAGGACCAAAAGAGTGGTGCTTAAACATTTTTGTTTGTTTTTTTTATTCAACCTTTTTTTTTCCAAACCAGGAATGTACTAGTTTTTTCCTCTCTTTAGAGGTGTGTTTGGGGGGGGAGGGAGGAGGGAAGGAGGGTGTGTGTGGGAGAGGGGGGGGGTTATGTTCTGGGGTCGCCATGATGAGTAGACAAGGGTGGAGGGAGAGAGGAAGAGGAGGAGAGGACCACAAAAAAAAACCTTCTCACACAGAGTTGTCCCAAATACAAAGTCTCAACACGTCACATACGAGAGTCACCTTGCTCCACGGCCTCGGCTCGCTGGCTATTGGCACAAAGAAACACACACAAACAGGCACACACACACGCACACGCACACACACACACACACACACACACACACACACACACAGACATTAACACACACACACACACACTTTCACCAACTGAGAGGTGAGGGAGCTCGGCGGTGGCTGCTTTGTTTCTCTCTCCCCCCTTGTTTTCCATAGAAACAGCACTCTCGTCTCTTTTCAACATGACAACCAGTGGCCGTGTCCGTGGTTTTCAGAAAAGCCAACGCGTTGGGTCGACCCAGTCAAACACAAACGGTGAGAGCCAGAGACACACAATTTCTGAAATAACATTGACATGAAAATCAAACAATAAGAAAAACAAAAACAACTGAGTCCAAGAGATACTTGACATTCTGCTGAGAGGGAGGGGTAGAGGGGGCGAAATGGACTGAAAACGGGGCAGTGGCCTCTTCGTTGTAGTCGACGCCGAAAAGTCAGTTTTTCGTTTCTCCCCCCTCGCGGCAGCAGCCATGTTTGGCTTGAAAATACTGTCATTTTGGATCGGAGCGCTCCAAAGAGATGCACAAGTTGTCGAAGAGAGAGTAACAGACACTTCATTTTGGCTTGGAGGATTATTTTAGGTACTTTGAGCATGTTTAAATAGACACAGACTTAACAGCTTACATCAAAACAAAACAAAAAAAACCAAGTCGGTAGTTGTACAAAAAAGAAGAACTTGAGGTGTTTTCCTCTCATTCTGTCTTTGAAATCAATCGATACAGTCAAATGCAACCCCTGGTATAAAAACATCATCATCATCATGTGTTGAACAAAGTCAATTTGGACAAATGTGACACTTAAGTATGAAAGATATCTCATTATATGATGTTAGATACTGATACAAAACACAGCTGAGAAATGTCGAAAGGTCCAGATTTAACACTGGCTTCACACAGAAAACATGGCTACATCACTTGAGGCCTTACGTGTGTGTGTATGTGTGTGTGAAAAATAAAAATCGGAATAAAAGCGTAAGCTCTCCACGGCCACCCAGTTTACACATAAGCCATAAACATGTTTGAGCAACACAAAACAGCTTTATTAGTATGCACATGAGAACATATTGCACCTCTAAAACACGGCATTGTGTTATTGCCCTCCAAGGTCGAGGTGCTGGGCACTAGCGTGTTTGTGTGTGCGTTTGTGCGAGGGCGTGAGGGTGCGCGAAAGAAATCACACGCTGCGCACAAGCCCTCTTTTCATCCCTCCCATGTCCATCGGGTTAGTCTTAATCACAGAAATACAGAGTCAGGTGAAAGCATTTTTTTGTCGAGTGTGGATGAAAAGTGTGCGTGCGTGTGTTTGTGTGGGGGCAAGCGGGAGCGAGAAAGAATGTATGTCATTCAATGCAATCAGTAGGCATTTGTGACAGTCATTAGAAGGTGTGAAATTTGTGTTGGGGTGTGTGGGAGGGTGTGTGTGTCGAACAGAGTGTACTGACTGCCTGGGGGGGGGGATTCTCTTGTGTGGGTCCGCGGCTAGCAGTGCACTGTGTGTGCTTTTATAATAAATGAGAGTGTGTGTGCGTTTGTGTGACACAGAGATGCGTTTCAACACAACTAATTTCGGCGGAAAAGAGGAACGCAAATCTGAAATGTGCCACCTCACGTTAACGTAAAGTGTGACAGCAGATGTGTGTGTGTGTGAGAGAGAGAGAGAGTATGTGATGGGAGCTCTCTGTTCCACGGTTAGAGTCCTACTCCTCTGAAAATCCATTTTGGCCGTCGATCCGTCACCTCAGTCCGGGCGGCTCAGACCCTCCATTTGAAGAAAAGGTGTCTCTCCTTCAACAGCCACTCTTTTATCTGCTCTCACCATCCTTCCCTCCTCGGGATCCTTCATCTCTCACTCCTGCCGCTCCCATCCTCCCCTCCCTCTCTGCTTCTTTTTCTTCGGCGGGCCATTCCTTCAGTCTTTTCTTCCCTCGTCTCCCTCCCTTTCCTCTCCTTTTTTTTTTAAGTTCTGCATTCAGACGCTGCTTTATTCCTCCTCCCCAGACAGCACTCTCTCTTGCCCTGTTCTTTTTCCTTTATTCTTCTTTTTTTTTATTTCATCCCCTCTCGCAGCCGCTGCACCCCCCTCCCCTCCACGCACACACGCACCCTCCCCGCCATCACCGCCTCCCCCGTGCCCCTCACTTCTTTTCACTTCTGCAGTTTGAAAAAAAGCGTTTGAAAAAAAAAAAAAACTTTCATAGATGGTTCTACCTCAACACTTCCACAAACGAGGTCTAAACTTCAAAACTACGGCATAGTACAAGGAGCTATAAAAATATACACAGAGTTCAGAGACCCTAGAGCGGAGGGAGGGAGAGAGAGGGAGGGAGGGAGGGAGGTGGGGGAGTGAATGAGAGAGGGAAGAGAGGAAGAAAGAAACAACCTCTGTTCGCCAGGAAATTTAAAAAAAGGGATTAAATTAATATACAACCGAAGGAGAAAATAAAGGAAAGAAGGTCGTTTTAAGTTGTGGAAAAAAAACCAGCAGATAAAAATGTCTATCAACAGAAGTGTACTTTATCAGAGTGGGTAAAAATAACGAAACAATAGAAAACTGAAGAAAACATCTAGAAATTATTTACTGGATATTCATATATATAATCTATAAGTGTTGATAGTGATAAAAAATCTCACTTTTTTTGATATTCGCTCACTATTTTGTGTTTTGGTATTTAAGACAATTCTAAAGAACGCACGCACGCACAGTCGCTCACACACAAAGCTTAAACACACACACACGCCGGCTAAACACACGCGTACGCAAACCTGCTGTACTGAAGCGCGCTAACTGCACGCACACGTCTAATGTGGAGCAGCAACGCCATAATTATTATCCAAGTCCTATGCACACTCACTCAGCAGCACATACACACACATAAACACACACACACATTATTAAAATATACAAGATTCTGAGTGTCACCGATTGGTCAGACCTCCTCAGGCCCCGGCCCGCTCATGTGACCGTCGCCCAGGCTTGCTGATTGGTTGAGTCTGAGGCCCCTGTTTCCTCAGGAGAAACAAACACAAACAAACTAGAATCCTATTGGTGAGTTAGTGGCAGGGGCCGGTCTCTGGTTGGCTGATGGAGCTCTGAGGGGCGGGATGGTGGAATAGGCAGGTATGGCCTCCGGGAATCAGAGTTCTCCGGTGCTAAGTGGGTTCAGGGGTGTAGTTTTTTTTTTTTTTTGTTGCTGTTGTAGTTCTTTTCTTTTTTAAAACATCGCGGGTCCCAACGCCAGGTCCATACTCCGAGAAAAAGAGTGTGTGCTGCACACCACACTGGCATTTTGGGGAACAACTCTTCTATTCAGCACGGGTGGGGCTCGTTTAGCTCTGAGTTAACAAGAAGGGGGCACTCAGAGGCTCTCACCCATTCGTGAGGGCCTTGTTAAGAAGGGCTGTGTACGGTTACGACATCGCCCTTAACACACACTGTGTGGCCCAGTTGTGTGAGGATGGGGTTGGGGTGCTTTACTCAGCGAGAAACACAACTGTGGCCGGGGGTGTGGGCTCACGGGGCAGTGAGAGGGGCAACACTAGTCGTATTGAGGGGTTCAGGGTCGGAGCTGTGATGGCAAGCTTCGCTGTGGCTTCATTTGGAGCAGGGGATTTGTTGGTAATGGGTGGAGGGAGGTGGGTGTGTCCAGTCGGCCGGAGAAGTGGCCGTCTCATACTTTGTAGTAGATGTTGGCTGGGCTCTGAGGCGGCATCTCCTGGACGATGTAGACGGGGTGTCCATAGTCCCCGCTCACCTTCTCGTAGTGCGGGCAGTAGGCCGAGTCCGACGTCCTCAGGGGGATGATGATGTCGCTGGGCTCCGAGCCGTTGTTGTTGGAGCTGGTGAGGCCCATGCCGCCGCCGCCTCCCCTCTTGGGGCTGGTGAGCGAAGACAGCGACAGCGGTGGGTGGTGGGTGTCCGAGTGCTTGGCGTGCCGTCGCCGGTAGCACACCACGCAGATCACGGCCGTCACCAGCAGGAGAAAGGCGGAGCCTCCCGCGGCGCCAGCAATGAGGGCGATGTTGGAGGGTTGAAGGGGTCCGTTCTCGCCGCCACCCTCGCCCCCGAAGCTGTTGGGTCTTTGAGACTGGGTGGAGTTCCCTGCGGCGCCTGAAACACATCGCAAAAGTATCTTAGGGCAACAGCCACAGCATCACAAGTTTCTCCCAGTCATTCCCTTCAGATTTAAATGATTTAAAAATGCATATTAATCATCAGGGCAATAACACAGTTGGCTTTCATAATTTGTGTTTGCACGAGCCTTTGAATAAACATACCAATCCTTACGGCTCCGCACCACAATAACATGAGTGATGGTGCTGCTTTGGCTCGGCGAGGGAACACTGCAGAGACTTAACCCAGCGGAATGCAGCAAATCTCACAGCAGCTTATATGTGGTTTCTTTATTGATGTGATAAAGTGGACAGCAGCGCATATAAAATGAAGAGGCATATCCGCAGACTGTGTGTGAGAGTGAGCTGTACACTATACACTCTGGACAGCCTGGCGAAGCCGCAGTTATGTATCAAGGTAACACACACTATTGCCCAAACCCTAACAACTGTATTTACTTAGCGCTACAGCCCACCACATGAAGAGGGCCTCTTCCCCGCTCTGCTGCGACCACCAAGCAACACAGCCCGCCTGCCCGCTGGCCTTCCTGCCCGCCTGTCTGTCTGTCTTCTCATCTGTCTGTCACACTGTGTGTCTGTTGTGCGTCTGCCTGAAACCTAAGATCCTCACAGCCTCCGAACTCACAGTTTTCTCTGCAGGAGGTCGGGTCAGAACCCAGCAGGTGGATGATGGTCTGGAGTTGTGTGTGTGTGAGTCACGGATGCGGGTGGCGCTCTCTGGCACCGGACCGTGTGCATGTTTGTGGCAAACTGGTTAAGGCCAGTAAGGCCAGTCCCAGCTATACAGAGCATTTGGATTGGTCTATCATTATTCGTGGCACACATCCTTTTCTTTGCTCCCCGTCTGTCTATCTCTCTCTCTCGCGTCTCCTCCGCTTCCTCGCTCTGTTGTTCTCTCTATCTTCTGGGTTATTGTAGCTGTAATGACCTACCTTGCTCTGAGCTCAGCGCCTAGCAACACACGCGCACATATGGATACACGCACGCCGCGTTGTGGACGTTCGCAACCGTGCGCGCAAACACACCTCATCCCCGCGGCTGCTAAGGCCTCCCGTCGCGCTGGGCTGACTGGGAACAAAGCGCTAATGCCGGACGTCGATTACAGTCCCTTCTCCTCCTCTGCTTTCTTCCTCCCTCCATTAACCCAACATCCCTCATTCTCCATCTCCATTATGTCCGCTGCTTTTCACCGTTCTCTTTATTATATCCTCTTCCTTCACCTCTCCTCCTCTGCGTCCTCTTCTTGCTCCCCCTATTTCATACCCTCCTTTTTTGTCTCACAAGTTCAGACTTTGATTCCCATATCAGGAGGACATACTCGGCTTTGGAATGGTTTTATCATGCTCGGGACAGTATTATGTCTCCATTCTGTGCACACTATCATATTTCCATCCTAGAAGGCCGCTCCCTTCTCTTTCGCATTTCGTCTTATTTCCTTGTTTTGTCTTGTCTGAATCAAGAATCTAAGGACAGAGGGTTTTGTCATTCTGAAAATATTCTTAATCCCCTGAAGAAAAAATTGTGATTTGTGATATTGGGCTGCATACATAAGATTTAACTCTAAACTGTTGCTCATGTTTTATGCAACAGAGTGAATCAGTGCGTGTTCCCATCAGCTATCTGTAAATAAAGCATCCAATAGGATGTGACAAGGTTTCATAATTACCACCAGTAACTCTGAAGCTTCCCACATAAGATGCCATTTATGTGTTTTTTCACAACTTAAATTGTCTCTTCCTGTCCATGTGTACTGATGGGTTATAAACTGCCACAGTGACATAAGAGGGGGTCCTCCATGTGCACCAAAGGCCCCTGGGTGGGCTTGCACCAGGTACAGGAGCGGCCCCTTTTCCACTGGTGAAAAAACCCACTCACATCTGGCTTTTGTGTGCAATGGGAATGGATAAAATCTTTTCATAACGTAGCCCTTTTTCTGTGTGTCTTATAACCACCGACTTGTACATGATGCCTGGCTGCAATATCAGACCAAGAGGTGAGAGTAACAGCATTGCACAAACATCTTTACCCAAGGATAAGGTCAATATTTGGGGTGTAACAGAGTCAAATGAACATTGTTTTTTGTTTTACAGAATCTGAGTCAACTGTATATTTATTTTTCATGTTGTTGTCTTGTCGGCCTTTTGGAGGGAGGTTCAGCTGATAGAGTTCTTCTCTGTTGTACAAGGCGATGTTAACAAAACAGGTAGAAACCTGATCATTTTGTGAGGAGAAATATAATTTTATTCTTAAAGAAATGGGAAAGATTTATCAAAATGGAAGACCTGTAAAAAAATGTAGTATTAAATGTTATTATTTATACTGATCTGTGAGGTATTTTTGTATATATCGAATCATTTCACTACCCTTGAATGCCTTACATGTCTGGTGAGTTAGTGGGCCTGATGATATTTGCAGAAATTACATATGGTTTGTAAGGGTGTTAGTGGTTTTTCTGTCTAATTAGTAATTTAAAAAAAGTATTTTCACCCTGTACCTCTGGTGATGACTGAGGAAAATATATTGCAGAAAAACTTTGCCAATTGTCTGAAAGAAGAAAAACTGCTGTACCCACACAGCATTGCAGTTTTTAGGAAAATCCTTCTATTTTGCTTTGCCCAGGCAACAATCGACTGGATTACTTTGATAAGGATGAGAAAAGTCTGATTCTCGTGGTCTTGAGTCTCGATCCTAAGTGCTCTCTGATATTTGTTTACATCCCTGGAGAGGATCAGATGGACTAAACAGACAAAAGAGGAGCTGAATCCCCAGCAACACTCAACTGACTGAGACAATTCCAAGTGCATTCACTGGAGGATTAGAAATTCTGTCATAACTGTCACACCAGTTATTTCAGATATGCGGTAAAGTGTGTTAATATATCCTTGTCTGGGTGTTAAACATGTGAAAAATCCCTCATTATATCTGAGTGATGTAAATCATTCAGGCAAAAAACCAATGCATACCGCTGATGCGTACTTCACACGTACAGCTCTCACCTTCTCTTATGTGAGGTACGGACCAGCGGTTGGGCAAATGTGCAAATGCCCTGATTCGCACATTTGCTACAGTACGCAAATATGCCACCGAAGAAGAAAAGGGAGAGATGAACGTGACTGAGAGGGAATCATATTCTTTCTCCTCCGCTGAGAGACTTTGAGGTAGAGCCTCTCTCCATTTTCATCTCCTTGTTCTATTCCCCTCTCCTCTTTGCTTTTCAATTATTCCTCTCTTTCTTTTCCTGATGTGCCTCCCGCTTCTACCCGCTCTGTTCCATCACTCCCCTACGTCCTCTCAGCCCTCATCTTTCCGTAATTCCCATCGTTCTCTCTCTCTCTCTTTCCGTCTCTCTCTTGACAGAACTACAGAATCCAGGCCGGCCAAACTAATGACAATAATAACTCTCCGAAACGTCGCCGCCAGTCTAGCCCTCTCTCCCCTCTGCCCTCTCTCTTTCCTCCCCCTGCCTCTTTTCTTCCTCCCCTTCTCTTTTTCTTGCCCTTCTCCCAAGGTAGCTATTAGCCATCCATTCCCCGCCTGCAGCACTTAGCTCGGAGGGCCGGGCGCAGAGATGAGAGGAGGGATAGAGAGCAGAGAGAGAAAGATATGGAATTAAATAGAGAGATCCACAGATGTCACCGCTGCACATTCTCCATCTGTCGCCTCCTCCCCTCCCTCTCCCCGCTGCTTTTTCTTTTTTATCCTCCAGTCTTTGCTTATTTCCTCCATCCATTTTGTGGACGGATCCTCTGCGGATTATCTCCGTTTGGTCTCCTGCTTACCTGGGTTTCTGCTGGTGGTGCGTCCCGCTGGCTCCTTCTTCGGAGGCAGTCCATATGGGCCTGGGGAGGAAAAAAAAGACGGGTGGAATATAAGCGGGGTGGCAGAGATACGAGACATAAAGACAATAAGTGACATTAGCAAAGAGAGAAATGGAGGCAGAAGAGGTTTGACACAGGCTTCCCCTCCCTTCCACTCCCATTATAGGAGAACACATATTGATTGGGCCTCAATGCAGCGTGTATGAGCACTTCTCCAATGGGAATGGGAAACTAAAGAGAGGCTGTTTGTTGTTTTGGCCAGAGTGAATTTACACAAGGCCATAACGGCTTGTAATCTGTAGTCGCTAAATCAGGCCATCTGTCTAGCAAGCCCTCAGTAATGGTGATGGCATTAAAGCGCGTTTATGTGACACACACACACACAGATGCAGCCATTGTGGAGGTGCCACTCCTCGCAGCTGAAAGAGATGGTTTGGAAAACCCTGACTTTGTTCACTCCTGAGCCATCTGGACAACAGTCGGCTGCAGGAATAGAGTTTTGAGCTGGGATGTGACTCTTCATTTCTGCAGTTTAGCCAGCATTTTAAAAAGGTCTGTTATTGGTCACTGTGGCAGCAGGGGAGGGCAAAATAGACATAGCCATGGGTTGTTTATAGTGACACACACTGCATCACAGTCACACACAAAGTGGTGAGTGTGTGTGTATGTGTGTGTGTGTGTGAGATCCTGCACAGCCATCATCCTATACATACTGACATTTAGAGAAGTGGAAGGCTATTGGCTGGCGGCTCCCTCATGACAGCCCACCAAACAGAAGTTAGGGGTGGTGCTGTATGGATCAATAGGAACTGCTGTGTGGTCACCAGGGGCGAGAAGAGGGATGTTCA